TTGCTTCACCCCCAAAGCGTCTGGACCATCACACGTTATACCACACCCTCTCCTGTTTGCAGACCTTCCTGATACAGCGTGTGCTATCAGATGCTAAGTGAAGCATCTTTATTTATGTATTAATTTTGGGGGGGAGGGTTTCTGGTACTGGGAATCAAACTCACGACCTCGCGCCTGCCAGGGAGCACTGCACAGCTGAGCTAAATCCCCAGCACCAAGTGAAGCATCTTTAAAAAGAGAAGAGATGCAATGCACATGACAAAATACCAGAATGAAGTTTAAACTATTTAGTCTTTAACTCTTCCTTTCTACCTCAACAGAGCTATTATAAAATCATGTTCCTTCCAACAAGCTCCTGTTGGCTGTCTCCTGCGTACGGCTGTGAAGGAAAGAATCTTTCTTTCTGATTTCTAATATCCTGCACTTATCTGGGCTATTACATACATTCAAGTGCTCTTTGGAACAGTCTATGAATCCAGCAGCACCCAGAAGAAAGCACAGCTGCAGGTTTTTCATTCTCCCGTGTTTCTGTAGCTTCACATCTTACATGTAAAATTTCACTTGAGAGCCTCATAGAAAAGGCACTTGCAGGTTTATTTGTTTTTGAAATTTTAAAAAAATTTTATTTATCTTTTAATATTATGAGAGTGCAACAGAAATTGGTTTGGTACTTTCTACTCTGTACTCATGAAGTTAGACTTTAAGGAGTTGAACACTCTTAGAAAATAGTTACACAGATTAAATATTTCTAAAATAACATCATGGGGTAAGCAAGACAATTGACTGTAATTTTGCGCTTCACTAATTATTTTTGGTGTTCTTGTTTTAAAACGCTTTTTCTTTGGCATAGTATTCAGATGTGGCTTTTGAAAATAAAATCTACCAAGAATGTTTTCTTCTTCCTTTCCCTATTTCTGCTTAATTGTGCTAATATACTAGCTAGGGCAGTTATATTTTAAATGGCATGTATATATTTAGCAGTATAATTATGCAAATTCTACCATGTTTATGATTGTAACTATCCTTTGGGAGCAGTTCCTTAGCATCTAGTCCTGAAACAATTTTTGAAGGATTCTGGTTGAAACGCTCAGATTTCACTCCTGAATTTACTTCTCTGAGGGAATCTCAGCCACTGAGCAAAATAATGCACCGTGGGAAAAAGCATGGATTCTGTAATAGGCCTGGACATTCTGTGCCACATACTGGCTCTCTGACCTCAGTCAAACTATGTAACCTCTCTGACCCTCAGTTTCTGCACCTGTAAAATGGGGATGGTGCTAGTAGGTACCTTGGGGGTTGGAGGATTACTTGGCACCATGCACAGAAACTACGTAACATAGTGCTTGGTGCATGAAAGTCTCCCACGAGATGATAGCTGCTATCAGTTACCAAGCCACACTGTCAGGACTCATGTCAGTCCGCTTACTAAACTCTCCCAGAGCTCAGCACTGTAGACAGAGCTGTGAGTGCTTCGGGAGGAGGTGGGCAGCACCAGCCCCGTGCTTCTCCCTTCCCTGTCCTCACCTGTTCAGGTAACAGTAGGGAGAGGGCTGGCAGGGCCGAGAGAGAGTTCGAGATCTTTTCAGAGAATCACTGCTCATCTTGTCATGTCCCAAGCTTAGCGGAGGTCGGGGTAGGGCTTTCACTCACAGCAGTTCTAAGCGTGTGCGGGGGTATATGTGTGTGGTGTATAACTACGTGTATGTGTGTATTAGTGTATACGTTTATATTGTGTGTCTGTATGGTATGTATTTGTGTAACGTGTTTGTGTGAGGTGTATGTGTGTATCTGTGGAGTGTGGTGTGTGTTTCTGCGTGGTGGGCATGTATGTGCACCTGTGTGATGTGTGTATGTATGTGTGTACATGTTGGTGTACCTCCGTATGGGTGTATCTGTGGACTGTTGTGTGGTATTCATGTTGGTGTGATGCGTGTATGTGCATGTGTGTTTTTGTGGTGTGTGTGTCTGTGTAGTGCATATGTATATGTGTGTGTGGTGTGTATATCTGTGTCTGTGGAGTGTGGGGTGTGTGCATTTCAATGTGGCATGCATGTCTGTGTGATGTGTGTATATGTACATATTTGTGCCTGTGTGGTGTGGACATGTACATGTGCGTGCCTCTGTGGGGCATGGGTGGTGTATGTCTATGTCTGGCTACAGGAAAAATGAATGTAGTGAGCCTAAATACCCACAAGCCTTTAACACTCCTCTGTGTTAAACTGATTTATAGATGAGAAGACACCTAGGCCAGACGTCTGAAATAAAATTATTCCTTTGATATTTCACATTTTAGGGAAAGAAAAATGGAAAATTCTATTACTAATTACAGTATAATTATATGTCAGAATATGCTGGTAGTAATGGCAGTATACTTTAGGTAAGCAATAATCTTTTTAGTCAACCTTTAAAATATTTTTATTCTAGATAGACAATAATTTGGATTTTCTAAAGCAGTTCTCTAACATTTCAACAAATCCATAGAATTTTCAGAGATTTGATAAAATGAGGTCTCAAAATCTGTTTTTAAAAAAGGGAATGGGGGCCCTAAAAGAATACTGATGAAAGTTGTGTGTTGTGATGTCTACCTGTAACCCCAGAACCTTGGGAGGCTGAGGCAGGAGAATTGTAAGTTAGAGCTTAGCCTGAGCAAATTAGCCTCTTAGTGAGATCCTGTCTCAAAACAAACAATAAAGAAAGGTCTGGGGATAGAGCTCCGTGTGGGTGCCCTGGGTTCAATCTGCAGTACTGGGAAAGTAAATTAATGAATAAAATAAAATAGTAATATAGTTGAGCTGAAAACTCTCATCCTTCAAGATTTGGTCGGGGAACCATGGCAGGATGAGCCTGCAGACCTGCAGATGGTTCCTGTGTGTGGTTCTCTCCCACAAAGCCCCGTGCAAAGAGGCTCCATGATGCATGCACGCGTGGTAACTGCACGGCCACCATGCTAGGCACTGGGAAGGAGGTGGACATCATTATTGGTCAAAATGTACCTGGAACTAGTTTAGTATGACCATAGGAATCAAGATCTCCATCCTCTGCTATGCAAGGTAGGTCAGCGTGAGGGTGTAGGCAGGATGTGGGACACTGGGGCGGGAAGATTATGGATTCTGGCCTTTAGTATCGTATCTGGGAGATAGATTCTTTCTATTCTTTCTTGGACTAAATGCTTTTTTTTTTTTTTTTAAGCAGAGGGTCTTGCTATGTAGTTCAGGCTGGCCTTGAACTCACCATATAGCCCAGGCTGTCCCTGAACTGAGGCGATCCTTCTGCCTCAGCTTTCCAGGTGCTGAGATTACAGAGTAAAATTATTGTGGCTCTAAATCTTGTCCTTTCAGCAAAACACTGTTTCCCCCTGCATCTCCTCTGCAGGGGATGCTTCTATAACTCTTTCTGTGAAGCATACAGCACAAGCTCCCAGGCCTGTGCCTCTTGGCAGATTCCTCTGGTCGTGACAATGGTCCATCTCAATGAGCCAATCAGAGTGTATATCTCAAACCCCTTAGCTGTCCATGGTCATGAGAAAAGTGCCTTTCTCTGATTATTAGAATTTCACTTTCTAGCCAGGTGCAGTGGCACATGCCCATAATGCCAGATACTCAGGAGGCTGAAGCAGGAGGATTTCAAGTCTGAGGCCAACTGGGTAATGTAGCAAGACTCTGTCTCAAAATTTAACAAAACAAAAGAAAATAAAACACAAGGCTGGGAATGTAGCTCAGTCCCTGGGTTAAATCTCGCACTGCAAGAAAAAAAAATCACTAAGGACTTTGGAATGGAGAATAAATATTATTTTCCTATCCTTCATTTTTCTTCATTCTACATAATCAAGTCAGCCACTTACCCACTTTTCTAGCTGAGTGAGTTTGAATTTGCTGTTGCATTAATGACCTCTTAAATGTTCATGTTCATTCTTGTTTTGTTCTCCTGAGATTCTCCTGCTGTGAGATTCCTTATGGCTGAACAAATAAGGAGGGCTGGCCTCTCATGACAAAAGCTTCCTGAGGGGCAGGGCTCTCTGACTTGTGTGTGAAAACAGTAAGGTGAGTTCACATTCCATCAGCAAGGTTGGCCTAAGGTTATGTAACCTTAGGAGAAGTAAGTGGTACTACCATTTTTAGTAAGGAGCAGAGGACCTAGGAAGGTTCTGGGTAACTAAATATCTGATTCTTATTTTTCATATCCTTCCTGGATTCATATGTCTTCTAACCTCTTTTGTTTTCAATTTCTCGAACTTGATTTTTATAACTACAATTATTGTGCTGTCTTCCTTGAAACCAACTCAGGGTAACGAAATTTCCTCTATGGAAATTTGCTTTCCTATTGGTCCTTTATAAATTTTGGAATGTGTTTTCAAAATACCAAAGGAAGGTTCAGGACTGAAAGCTTAACAATGTATATATTTAAAAAGAAATTCAAATGCCTAGGGTGTCTTGTTTATTAGAGAGATTCTGCTGACTTCAGCACCACTCCTGAAAGAGGATCACATCGGAACCATTCCACGTTCATGCAAATTCGCTTGTTATCATCCTAGAACACCAGCAGTGATACATCCTTTCATTTCCCAAAACCAGATGAGAAAACATTTGCATTCTAAAGGCAAAAAAACACAAATTGCTACCCCCGATAGTGAAACCACTCGCTCCTTATTTTCTGGGGCAGGTCAATTACCACGAGCTCTCGATCTACTTGTCCCAATGGTTCCTGTTGATCACAGCTTTCTTCGGAATGGTTCAGAGTTATGTTAATGACCTCCCTTGTAGAACCACAGTCCAGGGACCCACAGGACAGATCTGGCTGCGGGCAGACCTGTCCTCTTTAGTGTGGCTGCTGGGGTATCTCCTTGTAACGCACTGACTCAGAAACCCTTCCCAGAAAGGGCCACGGAGACGCTTCTCGGTGCCCTCTGCAGCGCCCCCTAGGCAAAGGTAGGACCCGAAGAGCAGCCCTCAGCTACACATGGCCGCAGAGCACGCAGCCCACCCACCCTCCCCACGCCTTACCTGGTCTCTCTGTCTTTGGGGATCGTAGCAGTGCTGTAGGCAAAAACTTGCTTCTCAACTAGAGGAGGGCCGAGGTCCACGATGCCAGACAATCCTGGAGTGTTCCGTGGCTTCTCAATATACACCAGGGTGCCCGGCTCCTTTTTGAAGGACTGGCGGCTGGGGGAGGCGCGGTCAGGCTGCAGAGTGTGAGGGGGCCCGTGGGCGTTGTGGTGCAGGTCCATCATCCGCAGGTCACCGACGCGGTGCGGAGACGCGGGCGGTGTTTTGGAGCCCAGCGTAGGCAAATGGCTCTCTGGATACTTCCTCGATTTCTGTCTGTACAGGGACTGCTCCATATGCATTTCTGCTTGCAGTGAGGGGTTACAATAAGCACTCGCTGACCGAATGGCTGTGCGGTGATATGCAATGATGTGATCGGGGACGTCCAGGGGGTGCCCACCATGGGACGAAGCTATGCTCATCCGCCCCTCGTGGTACAGGTAAGGATCCACGTAGAAGCCCTCATTTCTGTACATCGCCAGGTTTTTGCCGCTCATGTCTTCATCTGGCTTGACGTCTCTTCTTTCCAAAATGGCGCTGGGACTTGGTGAGATGGACCTGGAGACTGGCAGGCTGGACAGTCTGTCCCTGGGGATGGTGGCATTGCCAGGAACAACCATGGGGCGGGGGCCCCCATAAGGAATTCTGGATGGGGAAGGAGGCATGGAGTGGGGCACAGGAGTGGGTGGTGGAGAACTGGGAATTGCGTGGGGTGGATGAGCTGTGGCTCCAGGTCGGGGGGCACCAGGGCCATCTCCTCTTGCATAAACGATGTCTCTCTGCATCTGGAAATAAAGCAAGGGATTAGGAAGTCTACTTTGATAGACTCTACTGGTTGTGGAGAAGTCTCACAGTGACAGTGTGGCTTCCTTGACGTGGGAGTTTGAACAGTGCTGCTCTCCTGCAAGATGCCTGCGACCTAATTCCCAGCACCTGTGACTGTGGTCCCTCCTGTGGAACAGGGACTTCACAGATGTGATAATGTCGAGGATGCTGAAATGGGAGATCAGTGTCCAGGTGCACTTACGCAGTCACCAGGGTCAGAGGGAGGCTGGAGTGCAAGGCCAGGGGCTGCGATAGTGGGTGCCATGCTGCTGACCTTGCAGATGGAGGGGAGAGTGCAGGAAGCATCTAGAAGGTGGAAAAAGTAAGGACATGCATTCTCCCAGGGCCTCCAGAGAAGGTATATCCCTGCTGACAGGCTACTAGTGGCCCATAAAACTCATTCTGGAAGTCCGATTTCGATATAACACATTTAATAAATTTGTGGTGTTTTAAGCTGCTTTTTGGGGATACCTGTGATAAACAAACCCAAGATCTCTTAAATGTGAGGAAACCTCTTTACCACTTAGCTATACCAGCACCTCTAAGACTCTAAGTTTGCCGTAATTTGTTACAACCACCACGATGAGTACACCTAATGTAGCGCTCAGTGTTGTAGGGTGTGAAGGCAAAACAATGCACTGGTTTAAATTCTGAGGCCACAGCTTCTTCCACGTGATAAACATGGTCTAATGGGCAACGGTGCTAAAATGATATTTTCTACCCCTTGTCCTGGGCACATTTTCCTGCTTCAAGTCCTCGGAAATCGTAACTGTGTTTTCCATGGTTCGAAGCTAACACAATCTAGGGACAGGATCAGAGAGGCAAAGATGTTATCTGGGGGAAACCTGGAGAGAAGTTCCATTCATTCCCCAAATCTCTAGGTGAGTCTGTGAGAAGGAGATTGGAGGAAATAATGATCCAAGAGACAACAGTCAAATTATAGGCACACTCATAGTGGACAGGGCGAGCGGGGGAGACCGTGGGACCCCAAGCACGACAGAAGGAATCCTAAAGTTCGTGCCCTGGAACTGCCTCATGGTAAGGGGCATGCTGGGGCTTCACGTCCTTCCCACCCAGTTCAGGAGAAGCAAGGATTCCCACAGGGTCTTCCAGCATCTCTCCTTTAGGAGGGGCAGTAACTGAAGAATCAAGGTAAAGGGCAAATGCATCTGTAATTCGCAACTACACTATGCATTTAGCAAGAGGCAGAATGAAAAATATAAATGAATTCAGGATAGGACCCCAAGGGGGAGAAAAGCTGGGATTCTCCAACTGGAGAGGCAAATGACAGTCTTGGCTCAGGCTCCAAGCCCTATCTGTGCTGCCGGTAGGAGACTGCCTAGCCTGAATTCCAGGAGATGCGACAGACCAGAGTATAAACGCTCGGTGGGTAGCTGAGACTGGCGTGAGGAGAGAGGGCACCTGAAAGGACAAGAGCCATCTCGTGTGGTTGAGAGAGTCATAGCGAGGCTGATGTGTGAAAAGGGTAGGAAAAGTAGAGGAAACAAGAAAAGGTGAGAATGAAACAGAGCCCCATGTCTTGAATACAAACCAACTGATCAATGTCATAGAACAACAATGGTTTAGTAAACGGTAGTTACCAAGCACTTACTAAGACCCAGAGTTATCTGGACACCGCTCTGGAGAAGCCCTCGCCTCCCTGGCAAGGACAGGACAAGCTCTATCTGTTCCTTGCAGATGAGAAGGCAGGGCAAAGAAATGTGGGTCTTTTGGGCCTTCTTTCTCTTGTTCCTGGAAGGATGCAGCAGGGACTTTTACGTATTATAATGAATTTCAGACTGAGAGTGACCAATTAAAAGCATAAAAAAGATATACATATAAAAACAAAATGGGGACCTCAAGGGTACATTTCCTGAGCACCACAGAATTGCCCTCGCAGCTCCCTTAGGGGCTGAGCATTTCTGGGGACCCCAAGGATGAGGGCTTCTCCCTCACAATCACAATTTACCTCCATTGCCACCACACCCCTTCCACCCCACGCACAGAGCTCTGACCACGAAAGCTAGTCTGCTGTCCTTCTCTAAACCTGACTGTGACACCTTTAAGCGGTCCCCTCCCTGGAACCATCCCCCATGTCCTCACCTGGTGGCTCTAGGGCCAGAGCTAGTCCAGGTGCATGGGCGCTTCATCCCTTGCTCAATACCCTCATGACTCTGGTGCTCAGTGTCGCAGACCAGGAGGCCGGTCCCAAGGTCACTGTGCCGTCATACACCTGGTCGCTTCGCATTCAAGAACAGCTAAAGCAGCTACGTGACAGAGGTTTTGCAGAGACACAGCACAGATCCTCCGTACGTGCCTCTCCCACTCGGTCTTCCACAACCCAGGGCTTAATGAAAGGGGAGGTAAGGCTCAGCACGAGCAGCACAGAACACCAGAGGTGAGAGAAACCTGGCAGGGATTCAGCCAGCAATGCATGTCTGACCAAACTTCCCATTAAAGTGACCACACAATGCAGCGATCAACCAAAACAAACATCAAGACAAATCCACTGTAGTGACCTACACACGCCACCAAGCAGAACCAACGCACAGTGCCCAGAGCAAGCTACCAACCAATGGCGGGGACAGCTGTCGTTATTATTACTAATTCCAAATAAAATAAAATAAGATTCCAAGTGTCTAGAACTCCACTGGGATGGAGAATGGTTCTACCCAGACTTGTCACTGTTCTTTGTTCTGTTTCCTTTTTATTCATCTTCAGATAACACCCTCATCGGGTGAACTCTGATTCCAACTAACGCACCACAGGAAGCTCCCCGTTCTGGTCAGATAGGAAAAAAAAGACATCAAGATTCTAGAGAGCACAGAATGGTCTAGAAGCATAACTAATATTAATGAAAGAAAATCATCAAATTAATAAATAAAAAGTTGGGGGCTGGGGATTTAGCTCAGCAGCACAGCGCCTGCCTGACAAGTGTGAGGTCATGAGTTCAATTCCCAGTACTGGAAAAAACCAAAACAAAACAAAAAATAAATAAAAAGTTGCATAGATTTCTCTGAAAGCAGCAGCCCTATCTTGCCTATCTGCAGGAGTATTTTTTAAACGGTGATGTGAAAAGAAATGGTTAGGAACTACATTTTATAACTAACTTTTAAAATGAAGCACTAAAAAAAAAACCTCCTTAGAAAAGAAAGGCTCATTAGACTTCCTGATGGCATGTGTAGATGGGATCAGAAAGAAATGTAACCATTAATTAAGAATAATTCTGAAGCATCGTGTTGTGCATTCACATGTGGAGTGTGGGTGATAGTCAAAATATTTAACAACCAATATCTAGTATGGCACGAGTTCCAGTCGACCAGAATGGAAACTCAGTGTAGATGGCTCTGAGCCATAAGCAACTGGCATCATATCCCTGCTGGTAGTGCTCTGCATGAGCCCCACTTTGCCTACTTTACAACAATTTTGCCATCACCCAAAAGGGGCACTGAATAAGTCACCGAGTTATCTATCACGGAACCAAACCGAATACAAGCATTCAATTATGACACAACAGGGTGGATGTCTCCCATCAAGATGAGTGACTTAGACGCTGGAAACATTTGCAGAATTCTTGTGCTGCTCTGCCAGCTCTGCCTGACTTTCCAGGACTGCATTTTAAAAAGCACCATGATAATTTTATCCTCAGCTTTAAAGAGAGCCCAAAAAGAAGATGACACAACGATCCAATAAAGCCCCAGGAAAATAAGTTTTTTAAACCTACAACTAGAACAAACTCTTGAAATGAAATAACTTGGGTTTATGTGCTACATGATAGGGGGCAGCCAAAGGCAACTCGTGCTTAGGATGTGGCAGGAATGTAATGAGAGATGAGAAGAGAGAGTCTTTTCCCAACTCTTCAGTGTGATCTCTGTAGGAGACCACTTGTTATTCCAAGAAAAGTAGACTTTATTAATTCTACAAGAGCCTGATTGGATGGCGAGCAGGAGGATGAGTAAGATTCTATAATTCATAGTTTAAAGCAATGCTCATCTTTCAGGTGTGTTTTCTTCTCATGGTGATGATAATCTTCCTAGAATCAGGCATCTACGTAGTTTTATTTCATTTTGTTTTTAGCTATCTGGCGAACAAGTAAAGACATGGCATTAACTACATACTGAATTCTTCCTGCACTAGTATTCAAAGTCAGACTCCTAGGAGAAAATAATACTAACCCGACAAGGTAAAACAAAGAAACCTCTCTCTCTCTCCCTCTCCCTCTCCCACTCCCTCTCGCTCTGTGAACCAGACTCGCCCTATTTCCACCTTGGGGGACATCATCCTTCCCTCTTTCCTCACTGTTCAATTCAGTATTGTGTCTCAGATGTTTGAATTGTTCTGTTTCTTGTAAACAAGAAAACTCCTAGAGCTTCATCTGCAAAGCCCCAGGTAAGGGGCTGTGGTCTTGACCTGCAGCACCTACGGTAGCTCAGTAAGTACCCAGTATGTTGGCTCTACATTCAGACAGCCCCCCCAGATACTTAGGGCAGCTTCAGATGAATTATCTAAAGTTTGAGTTAGGAATATTTACAGACAGCTATATTTCATTTCCCAAGGTGCCATAGGTGAAATCAAATATCACTCATTCAGAAATTTCTTGAAGGTAAGAAGGAACATCTTAAAATTGTTTCTAGAAAAATAAATCTAGCATGAAGAATGTTTATTTAACATCATTGGGGGGAAACTGTCTCATGTAATCAGGCCTCTCTGTGGAGCATTTAAGATACATAGATACACGCTTGTTGAAAGGAAATATTACGGGAAGTTTATTATATTTCAAACTCCACCCTTCCAGGTCTAGAATTTGTAAACATACTACTCTGTCGGACCACACAATGAAGTAACTGGAGTAAACTACCAAGGTTTCGTATGAACTGCTTTCATCCTCAAAGAATTAAAGCCACTTACTTTTTCTTAAGGAAACCACCTGTAATAATTCACGCTGTGAAAAAACACATTG